AATCAGAATGTAGGTACTTTAAAGTGGAATATAATTTTATAAGGGTTTCAAAGTAGTAGCCTTGGGGCTGTCTTAGGTTTTTTGCACAAATGTGGAAGTGTGGCCACCAGGGTAAAAAATATATATACATACTTAAAATTCCTCAAGGTTCTCATTTTGTCCATCCAGTGTGGGTGCTCAGAATACCTAATGCATTTGTATACAGATCTGGGACGGGTAATTACGGTTAATTGACACAAGGAGTGCTCTTGCTTGTGCACAGGGGGGTAGGAGTGACTAGTATACCTGGTATGCTAGAGTCCAGAAGATTTTGGGTGACATGGCTGAAAAAAAATAGCAATTTACAATTACAACCTAATCAGCTAAACAACCGAAAAGAAGAAGGTTAGGGTTAGGACTATGACCAGGTCGAAGACCTGTGTAAACTCAGATGCTGCTTTCCAGTGAGAGCACTCTGAGATTTAAAATACATGGTGACTTACACATAGGTTTCTCATTTCCTGCTGGACAGGTGGGTAAACTGTTTGCTATGTTCAACACACTGGATTCTAGCATATCTCTACTGCTCTCAGCTCTTGCCACATTCGCTAGCATCATGGCCATGGTAATGTGTGTTTATAAAGTCTGTCGCAACCCTAACTGAAAGGAGTTGCAGGCTCGTTTAAAAGCCGCTGCAGTCTTTCACCAGAATCATGGATGATATTTTTAAACACAGAGATCTCAGCTTAGTAATGAATCAACTGAAAATAATGACTTGATGAAGAACACACCTGTTTTATCACCCTGAGTCACACTGTGGACTTGCACCAAAGAATCTTTGAGTCAGCAGAGTTACTTTCCCATCCATAATGAAAGTGATACACAGTGCCCTCTAATCAACAGTGGCTAAGCACTGCAGTAAGAACTGGACTGGTCCTTAGTCTATCTTCTGATTTTGACATCTTGTGGTATCTAAAATTACACATTGCCTGTGAGTGTGCAGTTATAGTAACTGATGTCAACTTACAGCATTTTCGGCTACAGAATTTTTTTTTTTTTCACTGCCATGTGGGGCCACAAGTGTGCAAAGCTGGCAAGTGCAGCTGCTGGTTTCCATCCAAAATTCTGCTTAGAGGAGCAGTCATAAATGGAAATTTGGTAATGTGAGTTTAGCTAATGTCATACCACATCGCCCTGACCGAAAGGCTTCCAATTATTCAGTGGAACAAGGTTTTTCTCTTTTACTGAAGCCAGCATTAGCTTGGGTTTTCCAATACTTTCCTAGTGAGCACAGTTTTGATAAAAAAAACAAACTATGCATTTAAATGATAAGTGTGCTGAGCGTGATTGAATACTGAATATATTTTATATGCTAGCTTGCCAACTTTAGGGGCTGACAACTGTGACCGGTTTTGGCCTAATATTAATAGATGGCTGTCACTTATGTCCTTGTTCAGTATTATGCCAAAGTTCACATACAGCCTCTTAACACATGATCACAAGGTGAAGACCATCAGAAACAGCTGAAAGCCACCAAAGCAAACCTTTGCTGTTTGACTCTCTTTGTTACATAAAGTACTCATAAAGCAATGCAAAATCAAATGAGAAGCTAACAGTCCAGCTCTCACTGTAAAGCATACTCACTGCTGATTATGAGGTACCATAAACAGCTTTAACATAACTTCAGTAACTATATTCCAGTGTGAAACAGATATAATAAAGGGGATATGACAGATTTGAACAGTTGTTGGTTATGAGTGACCAGAACTAACCCTTCTTCAACCCTTGACACCCTGACTACTTCCTACCTACAAGCCACCAAAATTTATAGGCAGCCATGGGTTTCTGTTCACAATTGGAACAGAAGAACAGAAGGGATGTCTGAAAGTGAGTACCGGTATATTATGACTGACCTGAAGCACTGAACCAAGATAAACAGTGAATAAGGCAAAAGAGACCTTGGAATTTTGCGGGGCACCAGATAAAGCAAATAAACACACCTCACAGGAACTCCATGTGTTCTACACACCAGGAAACAAAGATGATCCAACCCACTTTGAAAAATAAATGGTGGGAAATATACACAACTACAGAAAACACACACACACACACACACACACACCCACACACCCAGGTACCTTTTCGGCTCAGTGAGAGCCTGTTCCCATCTTTGGGATTAGGGTCCATTGACCTCACAGACTAAATTAAAGGAGCCTGCCCCCGAGATTTCATAAACCGTTTGTTTCTAATTAAGAGGATCTCTTTTTATAATATGTGGGTATTAGGACAACAGATGTTTGCAAGAAGAAAAGAATCTTCCAGAACTAAAATTTAACACATGGTGGTATTAACTTGGTATTTTCATCTGCTAGAGCAATGGTTGCCAAAGTGGGACCTAGGGAGCTGTGTTGGCTTTGACAGTGTTCCAGTGAGGCTTCAGCAAAATTTCGATTTGTTTAAATAGATACCATTTAATGAATCCTTTTAAAAAGTCAGGGTGTGTAGAATAGACTTAAATGGCAAACATTTTTGTTCACAGTACCAGTGAAATGGTTTGTGTATAGGGCATTTCTGTAAGCCATAGTGTATTTTTTACACACCAGAGGCCAGATGCATAAAACTGTGTAGATTCATGACTAAAACTGTGTGTACACATCGAGACTGAAGTGAACATATGCATGGTTTTCATCAGATTTAAGAAGTACAGCATAGTATGCTGTTTTATAAATCTCAAATTTTATAGAAATGGGCACACAATCTTCTTTTTCACTCCCACTTTTAAAATATAGATGTTGACATGCCCTTAAATCACTTGCACAGAAAAACAGCTTGAATTACTAGACAAATCAATGCTAAAAAAGCACAATTTCAGTGAGTGTGAAATTGAAACAGTGATTTGCCGCACTGTCAAGATCCTGCAGTAATGCCAGAACAACCATCCTTACACACAACCATTATGCACAGCTACAGATATTTAAATAGCATTGTAATTTGTTCACACACCTGTAAAGGTTTATTGTTAGGTTAGTGATGTCTCAGTCATCATTAATCAAAGTGAATTAATGTAAGTAATATCAACACTTCACAGAACAATTTACAAGAAAGTCAAAAATGAAAAACTGAAAAATGTCAAAAGCAAAAGAAACAAAATTCAATGCAGTGTTTAAAAATAAAATTTATGAACTGAAATAGATGTAAACAGCTAAAAACAGCACAAGCTGTCTAAAATGGGCTGTCTCACCTTATTTTTCATTTCCATATCACACTTACTCAACCCATGTGCGCGCGTGGTTCTAAGTATGTGTGAGGTGTGAACATTCCTCCCACATATTACATTTCAGTTTGTGTGGGAAAATGCAAACACATTGTTTTTGTGTGTATGCATCGTTTACACATCTGGCCCCATGTCACTGAAATTCAGCTTGATAAAACGGTTGGGCACTCATTTGTGCTCATTTCAGCAACAAACTTTAATTGAGACCTGAGGGGAGAAGATGACTAAAAGGGAGATAATCATGCTTCTCCAGGGTGATGAACAGTGTGTGCAGTCACAGCTTGCACTGGTGAATCCAGCCTGCAAGTGCTCCCCCTTTTTTCCCCCAGGCTGGCTCATCAAGCCAATATTACAAACTGATTTTTCTTTTTCCCCATTGTCAGCAAATGCCAGCATGCATTTGCATCAGCACACTGCCTCTGAGAAGACATCCAGACTTTTTCACTGGCACTGTCTACCAGTACCAGGGGACTAGGGGGAAATAAGTGATGCTTGTACTGTATAAATAAATCCTCACCTTTCAAACAGCAAATGCACTATCTAAACAACTGTTTGAAAATGTCTTTATCATCATAAAAAGTGGGGAGAAATGTACTGTATATTAGTATGGCAATGTGTTAGAAATTCTGCATAAACTGAGATGGAGACATGGGGGAACTATAACTTTTTGACTGCTTTCTTCCAACTTTCCTCACGCAGTTTTAATTACCCTTTAAAGCATTCTCTTCGCTCAGTGCTAATCTCAAAGTCTGTGAGCCGATGTGGTCAGCTTGGTGCTTAATTGTCGAAAACACAGATGTAGCACCTGTAGTTATCTGAAATGGAAATTTGATGCCTGGGTTGTGTCTGGTTCGGTAACAAGACAATACAGGAAAGAGGATGGGATCAATCAGCTGCTATAAGGAAGCGTTACCATAACAAAGGTTTCTCAGTTTGCGCGAATGAAAGCATAGACCCGACAACTTTAGAGACATCTGTTGAGCATGTGTTAAGCCAGTCACTAGCTAGGACCTGCCCTCAGTGCATGAGAAGAGAATGGTGCTTAGTGCAGACTTAGTTATGAACTGCAGTTTGGGGAGAAAGGCTTCAGGGGTCCGTGCCGCTCTCGGCACTGATGGACTCCCTGCATGAAAGGGGGGAGAGAAAGAGGATAGAAAGATGAAGAAAAATGGGAGGGAGAGTGGGTTGCTATAAAAAAAAGTCAGAAGAACCACCTATGAGAAAATAGACAGCTGCCATGGATAAAATATAATAGTAATTACGGTGAATTATATTTGTGGTGACAGATTTTTATGTATGATACCATATTACTGATTGTCCCACTTGATCATCTGAGCTATACTGCACAACCAGTCACTCTCTTGCAGATAAAATAAAAAGCAGAACATATTGCATGTAGTGCAGCCCTTGTGTGCAGAGCTGATAACATCCAGGACAAAAACAGTTGACATGTTGAAGATTTCAGCTACATCTTATTAGTTCGCATAGGACAGGATTAAAGTGCTGTTGTCCTGTCAGCTTCCTCTGTTGCTGGGCAAGCATGATAAATAAGATTAAATAACTGACTGCCTCAAAGTTGCCTGTAGATATCAAAGTTTTACTGCTGCTTAAAATGAACAAGCAGCATCTTTCAGTAAAGCGAGGGGAGGAAAAAAAACCAACTCATAACTCTAAGAGGGCATCAAGCGCATGTACAGTACTCACTTTCTGCTGCTTACTGCCTCGAGGTCTTTATAAAAGTGACAGTCTTCTGTGTGTGTTGTTTTTGATGCTTGCTATAGATGGAGAAAACATTGTTTATGCTTGACATCAATATAAAACTACTAAATGTTGGAGGTTCTGTGGACTATGATTTTACAGTTTACCAATCTGATGACAGTTTACTATTACCTTATAAATATTCATTTAAAGACAGAACATGTCTGACGTGCCAATCCCTGCTGCCCTGTGGAGTATACAGAAATAGAAATTATGAACCTTCCTAAGGACAAATAGCAAAACTGTGCCATTCCAATAACACACCACTTACTTAGTTAAATGGGGTGTCCTCCTTTTTCAAGAGACGAGAGGAGAGATGCGCACTACTTTCTATCCTCAAAAGGCCTCACTGCTTCCTTCTTCCCTCTGGCAACATATCACATTACTAATCAGATTATCTCTCTTCAAGAACCCCTTGCCCTCCCCCTCCAAACACACAAAAAAATTCCTCAAGGAACAAGCTGGATAACGTGGATTGGCATTTTCTCCTTTTGTCCTAATGACAAGTACTTTTGTATTATACAAAGCTGTTGATGGACAATGAACAGTGAAAAGCCTGGAATCCCTGTTATCCAGCTCTGTAGTCTTATTGTGTATTTCAAATCAGGCTGCCTCATTAAGACTCCAATTTGCTCCTTATCCCCTCAATGCAAGCTTTTGATGCAGATTAAAAAGTCAAATAACAGGGATTACTTGCCAATAATAATGGATAAGGTAACATATTCTGTGCAACACCTAAGATACTTATCACACATTATAAATTACTTTGAATTATTGCAGGAAGACCATGAACTCCATAACACTGTCAATCAAGCAGGTTCTTTCTAATACTACTTCCTCTATTGACTCTTTAAGCCTTCAAATTATAAGTATTGATTCTTTAAATCTTCCCACATTTCAGCAGAGGGATCTTAACAATGAAATGGTTGAGAAGACACTGGTAAATATTTATGAAAAACAGGTCTAGAATCAAATGAATACATTTTAAACTGTGCTGAAAGTGTGTTGTGGAAACATTTCTCCAATAATGTGCATTGGTCAGAGCATTTAGACCCAAAGCCTCGGGGGGACTGTTTGGTTCAACAACTCAAATACCATCTAAATTTTTTATGAGGATACACATCTAATATACCAGATATGCAGCTGCCACTGTGAACATTGCTGCAGCTCTAAATACTCCAGTAAAGAAAAAGGTTGATGCATGCCTCTATGGGATCGCCTTTGGATTAATATTGACACTTACAATGGGTTTGCTTATTTCACGGTGCCGGTTGTTCATCTCTTGTGTATTTGGCTACTCCTCTGGGTCCTGTCTTTACATACAGTGCATATAAAGTAGGGTTTATCCTTGTATGTGTGTGGCCTTCAAGAGACCACACATTTATTTTCTGCTATGTGCTATTCATTACCAAAAGCTATAAAATAATTTCAAATCAAACCAAAACTTTTGAAGAAAAGCATGACCAGTTGGTCATGTAGCTCAAAAAGATGACCACCACCAACAATAACGACAATTTCAGTAGAATGCTTTCTAAGACTTACATTGAGTATAAACTCAAAAGCAAGTGTGCCTCTGCAGTTTCTGGTTCTCATGCTGTGCCAAAAACCATGCACCACAATCTTGAAGTGTACTCCATCAAAAACTATTCCTCAACTCCTGAGGCTATGGTTACATGCACACAGGGTTTCTTGTGTTAGATTATTGCAAAAATAAAAAACTAAGGAAAGAAATCCTCACCACTGCCTTATTTAGGTGAAAACTGCCAGTAGCCCACTAAAAAGCTAAACAGATTTCTATGCACAATTATAATAAAGTTTATTATGATGAACTGCAGAAATGTTGTAGTCGCACCTATAAACTTTTTCAGAATTGTGTGTTTGTGTAGTTCTGTGAAGTTGATAAATCAGTTAAGCCACGAAGACAGCAGGAGCAAATATTTTCTATTTGAGTCACGATGTAAAGGTTATGCATGTTTAAGATGTTGGGGGACCCACCACTCTGTCTCTGGAGTAAATTCCTATCCATTTCTTTTATTGTTTGCTCTTATCTTTTTAAAAATTTCACCTGTATTTTACTTGTGTTTTGATCACAACCAGTCACCATAGCGTAGCTCAAAAATGCAACAACTGTCTGTATCTGCCTTTATGCTTAGTCGGGTGTGTAAGGGAAAGATTTTATTACCACAATTGTTTTCTTTTCTGTTGCCCAACATTCACTGTCTTTTAATATTATTGTGGCTCACTGAAATCAAAATATAATAAAAGTCCACTGAACAGCTGAAATCCAATCCATTCTTGCTGGAATGTTAAATCAGGTTGTTCACAGAGGCAGTATTTCAGTTAGTCAAAGAGATGTCAGCCCAGCTTTCACTGTTGTGGTCCTTAGGGGGGAATTAAACCAAATATCTTGTAATTAACTAAGTGGCTGTAGCCACTGCCTATTGTTTTGCGACTCACCCATCTGTGACCATGCAGTCACCCAATCTCCATGCTGCTGCTAATGGAAAAATATTGATCCTGGCTGTTCCATATTCAGAGAGAGAGAGAAAAATGTGTGAGGTACAGACAGAGTCAATACTGCCCACATTTGCAGCACAGCCTTTGCTTTGACAGGCGGATATATTGATGTAATGTGCAGAATTAGTGTATAGGCAGAGGAACTAGTTAGGTTTTGAAGCCAAAAGTATATAAGGGAAGGCCATATTATGAGATGCTGTCACAGGCAGAGCAAAGTACATTTATTCAGGAACTGGACTTGATGGGCACTGAACTAACTCCATAAAAGTAAGTATGACAGAGTACAGGAAAATGCCAGTGGGTGAACACTCAAGTTCAGATTATTATATCAAAGTACTACTTCCTATTACCAATATCAGAAGTGCTGACAGGTGCTGTATCAGAAAGCCATTCAATACCACAGAAAACAATAACAAAAGATTGTTTTCCCTTGAGCTGTTCCCCACTAGGGGTCGCCACAGCAGACTCACTAGATCCGCATATTTGATTTGGCACAGTTGTTACAGCAGATACAACCCTACAGAAAAATTTAGAATTTTAAACCTAAACTGCGTGTTTTAGGACTGTGTGAGGAAGGTAGAGTACCCAGAGTAAGCCCAAACAGATAATGGCCACAGTGGGCTGTGGAACCTGGAACCTCCTTGCTGTGAGACGACAGGCTAACCACTCCCTCCCACAACAAAGGATCTTGGAGTAAAGTCAGGACCAAGGACTGAAAGATGCAAATTGTTTTAGTTACAAGTACTACAGAATCAATTTTAAATTAACTTGATACATTTCTCTTCAACTGGCACAATTTACTGTGCATAAGCACTTTTAAGTTGATGCTGATAAAAGTTTCTGCTTTTGTCAGACTACTGTAGATAAGGATATAAAACTGCTCGTCTTTTTGACAGCAGGCAACACTACACATGCAGGCATGTTTACTAACTGAAAAAGAATAACTTTTGAGAGTTCTCACAAAGTTTCTGTCAAACTGCCTCCTATAGACCATGGCACAAATATGGCCATTCTGTGTTTCGGCATTTTCAGGGTAACTTGGTCATAGGAGTGGGAACTATTTGGCACAGGCACACAGAAAAGGGGGCAACCTGACTGATGCAGCACCTGAACCTTTGGAAAATGCATTGCTGACTTGCTATATATGTGAAGTACCTGCCATTAAAAGGCATAAATACATATCCTGTCAGAACTGTTAAGTGTGAATGGCGCAGATAAGTTCCAGACACAGACTCAGATATGTGAAAATATAAACATCATCAAAATAAATTAAACTGACATTTATAGAATACTCCAACGTATACAACAGATTTCTATTTTATGCATTAAATAAAAATTTAAAATGTGGATCTGAACATTTCCATTTAAAAGAGATTTTTCCACTTGCGACACTTCACTCAATTTTTATATAATTTTCATAAAATAAAAAAGGTATGCTACAAGTCTTCATACTTTTGTACACTTGACATTGGATTAAAAAAAATAAATCAATCAAGTCTTCATACTTTTGTACACTTGACACTGGATTAAAAAAAAATAAATAAATCAATCTATGTAACCTAATGGAGACATTTGGTTACATACAATTACTGGTAATCAGAGACTCATTATGATTTCATCCTTTGTTTTACTGTCCATCATCCAGAATGCACCGTTCCTGCTCTCAGCACAATTTCTGTTGCCAACTGGACTCTGTCCAGCTGAACCTTCTGTCTGGAACTGATTGGTGACTGTGACCCGCTAAGTCTCCTGGGCTACAGTACCAGCCAAACAACAGGGATTAACACCTTGCTGTAGCTTGTGTTTGTGCATCCTTATACTGAATATACTGGACAAAGTCAGAAGAGTCTAGCAAATAAGTGATGTATGTGTATTACTGTAATGCAAAGCAATCATGAGAACTGTAGTTTGTAGCTGTAGCTCTCTGTAGCAAGTGTGGCAACATTCAGTGATATTTGCCATACAGTACTGTACCATCTTTGAAATAGTGCTGGAAAATGACAGGTCATGCAAATATGTTAACATTAATTAAAATGAAATTTGCCATATATTGGCAGTGGTGGCAAATTTTAGAAGTCTACGCCAATGTTAAAGCCTAGATAATGTCCTCTGGCATGCTAGTTGTCGGCCAGCAATTCAGCCTAGTCGATGACCAATTAGGCTAGTTTTTGCTCGTGTAGGCTATAATCACACTGGCCATTTAGCAGACCACCTCTGTAAAATACATATTTTCATCTACTGATTCTTTCCAGGGGTCATAAGATTAAATTTCATTAGCTTTAGAAAACATTCTCATCAGTGAAGGAACTAATCTGTAATGTAGTGAAGAAATGCAATTACTCCATCTATCTGGATCAAACAACTACTGTGCAAGATATTCATTTGGTTCAGAATAAAAACGAGTAGCAAAGCTGTGCAAATGTCCATGTCCATCTATCAATTTCACACCTGAGATTGGTTAGGTTGTTAAAGTTCAGGCTTTTTAATGAATTAGAATGAAGATCATACATTACAAGGGTAAAAAGCAAGCCTAAGAGCTCTTCAAGTAATAGCTTGGTATTTTAAATTTCAGATCATTTTGTCAGTCACAGGAGAAAAGTTTTTCGCTTGTGTTCTCCTTAAAATGACACCTTTTGTTACTGGATCCTCACTGTAAGAACTGAAATTCACAGTATCAAAGTGCATCTCTTCAACTTGTAATCAGACAAGGTTTTGAAAACATGGAGTCTGGAATATCTGCATTCAGAAACAGCCATGATCCACTGCTCATGCAAATGGTTTTACGCATGCTGCCATCTTTAGGCTTGAAACTGCAAAGGATGGAAGGTGTGTGAGGGTGAGTCTGTGTG